TGGTGTTAATGGTGTGTTGAGGTCCCCTACTATTATTGTATTGTTGTTGATGTCTTCTTTTAGTTCTATTAAGAGTTACTTTACAAATTTTGGTGCTCCTTTGTTGGGTGCGTATATATTTATAAGTGTTATGTCTTCTTGGTGGAGAGTCCCTTTTATCATTATATGCTGTCCCCCTTTGTCTGTCTTTGTCTGTTTTGCTTTGAAGTCTACCTTGCCTGATATTAGTATAGTGACACCTGCTTTCCTTTGCTCATTATTAGCTTGGAGTATTGTTCTCCATCCCTTCACTCTGAGTCTGTGTTTGTCTTTGGCGCTGAGGTGTGTTTCCTGGAGGCAGCATATTGTTGTGGCTTCTTCTTTGATCCATCCTTCCACTCTGTGTCTTTTGATTGGGGAGTTCAATCCATTTACATTTAGAGTGATTATTGAGATGTGGGGGCCTACCACTCCCATTTTGTGTCTTGTTTTCCAGTTTTCTTCAATTTCCTTTGTTTCTCGTCCCATGGTTTAGTCTGTTCTGATGAAGAGCTACTACTCTCTGTTGTTGTCCTTCTACTTATCTCCTATGCTCTTGGTTTTGTAGCCCCTTTCCTTTTTTGGATTTTTCAGGAATGAGGGTTTTCCTGAGGATTTCCTGAAGAGGAGGTTTTGTGACAATGAACTCCCTTAATTTTTGTTTATCTGGGAAAGTTTTTATTTCTCCATCATATTTGAAGGATATTTTTGCTGGGTAGAGAATTCTCGGCTGTAGATTTTTGTCCTTCAGATTTTTGAATATATCATTCCACTCTCTTCTAGCCTGTGAAGTTTCTGCTGAGAAATCTGCTGATAGCCTGATGGGGGTTCCTTTGTAGGTTAGTTTCTTTTGCCTGGCTGTCCTTAGTATTTTCTCCTTGTCGTTGACTTTTGCTAGCTTCACTACTATATGCCGTGGAGTTGCTCTTCTTGCATTGATAAAGTTTGGAGATCTATTGGCTTCTGTCACCTGAAGATCCATCGCTCTCACCAGATTTGGGAAGTTCTCAGCCATTATTTCTTTGAATAGGCTTTCTGCCCCTTTCTCCTTCTCTTCTCCCTCTGGTATACCTATAATCCTTACATTGCATCTCCTAATTGTGTCTGATAATTCTCGGAGAGTTTCTTCATTTCTTTTTAGTCTTGCTTCTCTCTCCTCCTCTGCCTGCAGCAATTCTACATTGCCCTCTTCCAAATTGCTAATTCTTTCCTCCATATTATCGGCCCTACTGTTCAGAGCATCTAGATTTTTCTTAATCTCCTCTATTGTGTTCTTCATTTCCAATATTTCTGTTTGGTTCTTCTTTATCGTATCAAACTCTTTTGTGACATAGCTCCTGAACTCGTTGAGTTGTCAGTCAGCATTCTCTCTTAACTCATTGAGTATTTTAATGATGGCTGTTTTGAAGTCATCATCATTTAGGTTATATATCTCATTTTCTTTGGGATTGTTTCCTGTGTATTTGTTATTTTCCTTCTGTTCTGGAGATTTAATGTATTTTTTCATATTGCTTGATGTTGTTGATTTGTGCCTCCGCATAGAGATAGAGTTTAGTTGCTCCTTTCACTTGTTTCAGCTGCTGCGGTGGGGGAGCAGCTGTTTATACTGCACCAACCAGAAACCCTGTCCGCAGTTGCTAACTGGGCCTGGGCCCCTCCTCATAGTCACAGTGGTCCTTTGGATTCCCTCCTCTGCCATGGGGGCCATCACAGGGGGGCTTCAGGCTGCTGGTGCCCACTGTTGCAGCCCACCTAGACGTGCTCCCTCCTTGGGGTCTGCAACGGTGTTATGGGCTTTTCCAGCGGCCAGGGGTGGGATCACTTATATTTGTCACTCCGTTGCTGTCGGCACACACAAAATCTCACTTGTCCACTATGGGTCGCAGGAGAGCTATTGGCATCTTCTACAGTCTGTGGTTAGTTCACCTAGCTATTCTACTTTTATCTTGGGGTCTTCCAGCCTTGTGGCTGCCGGATGGGTGATTTCTACTTGTGCTGTGCAGAGGCTTTCCCTGAGGCTGCTGTGAGCCTGTAGGGTTTCCCCCTAGGCTATGGAGCTGGGTAGCTGGAACTCCCCCCAGCCCCAGTCCTGTTCCCCAGGAACTCGGGGAGCCCTTTGCCCTGTCTTGGGGGGATAGCCGGAGATCCTGATTTCAGTGGTAGCTGGTCAGCTGCTGCCCTGCCTGATATTCTCCTCTCCGGGACCCTCCCGGTATTGTGGATGCTGGGTGTGGCCCCTCCGCTAATAGCAGACAGAGAGTTTTGTCTGCTGCCCGGGCAGAACTCTGGAGCTTCCCCTCCGGGCTGTGGAGCCGGCCTCTGGAGCTTCACCCAGCCCCAGTCCTCTCCGAGATCTCCGAGATCTCCAGCAATCCCCAGCCCCGCAGGGTGGGCAATGGCAGCCTGGGGTCACCTCGCCCTTTGGGATTCCCTCCGGGACCTTCCCAGAGTTGAATGCTGGGCGTGGCCCCTCCACTAATGGCAGACAGAGTTTTGTCTGCTGCCCGGGCAGAACTCCGGAGCTTCCCCTCCGGGGCGTGGAGTCGGCCTCTGGAGCTTCACCCAGCCCTAGTCCGCTCAGAGATCTCCGGCAATCCCTAGCCCCACCGTGCCGGCAGTGGCAGCCAGGAGACCTCCATACCCTCAGCGACTCTCTCTGGGACCCTCCGGGCGCCGCGAACACTAGGCGGGATCTCCCCGCCAATGGCGGGGGAGAGACTCTCCCCACGGGCCCAGGTGTGCAACTCCAAAGTTTCCTTCTGCATTTAGGAGTAATTGCAGGAGGTTTAGGTAGGGTTCTGGTCACGTGTTTCCACCGTCGCTCCTCTGTTGTGTGCTCGCTCCTGCCCTAGATGTGTGTTGATCTTCTGGGGGCGTCCGTTGGAAGAAAGCCACTTGTGGGTACTAGGCTGTTCGGTAGGGGTCGGAGAGTTTTCACCTATTTCCACATCCTCCTGGAGGAAAGTCCGTCCGCCTTCCGATGTGTAGTCACGTGGGTCTCTCAGATGTCCTGAGATGCTGTCTGGATATCCTTTGTTAAGCGATAAGTGTCCAAATAATTGTAGACTCGAAGGGGGAGAGACAAAGAGGACTACTCACGGCGCCATCTTGGATCCCTCTATATCTCATTTGGCATGCTTTTAAGAGTAGATTCTCAGGACTCATCAATTCCGTGTCTAGGTATATACTCAAAAGCATTGAAAGCAGGAACTCAAATAGATTCTTGCACACAAGTATTCATATCAGTGTTAATCACAATAGCCAAAATATGGAAACAACCCAAATTCCATCAAGAGACGAATGGATGAACAAAATGTGGTCTATCCATACAATGGAGTATTATTCAGCCTTAAAAAGGACTGAAATTCTGATACATGTTGCAACATGGTTGAACTTTGAAAACATTACGCTAAGTGAGATAAGCCAGACACAAAAGGATAAGTATTATATGCTTGCAGTTATATGAGGCACCTAGAATTGGCAAATTCATAGAGACAGAAAGAAAATAAAGGTTTCCAGGGGCTGAATGGAAGGACAAATGGGGAATGGTTGTTTAATGTATATAGAGTTCCTGTTTGGAATGATGAAAAAGTTCTGGAAATAGATGGTAGTGATGGTTGCACAATACTGTAATGTACTGAATGCCACAGAACTGTAAAATTAAAAAATGGTTAAAATGGTAAATTTTGTTATACATATATCCAAAATAAAAATATACATAAAAGATTAAGCTGTTGTAATATTCTTTTAAAAGTGTATTCTCAGGCTCTTCTCCTAGAGATGTTCACCTGGTAAGTCTGGGACAAGTTGGGAAGCTATATAATAACAAAAACCTCAACTGATTGTTTTAATAAAGCTAAAATGATAAAATATTGCCCTACAGATTGCCAACAGCCACATGAAAAGATGTTCAACATCACTAACTATCAGGGAGATGCAAATCAAAACTACAATGAGATATCACCTCACTCCTGTCAGAATGGCTATAATTAACAAGACAGGAAAAAACGAGTGTTGGAGAAGATGTGGAGAGAAAGGAATTCTCATACACTGCTGGTAGGAGTGCCAATTGGTGCAGCCACTATGGAAAACAGTATGAAGATTCCTCAAAAAATTAAAAAGAGAAATGCCATATGATCCAGCTACTCCATTGCTGGGTATTTATCCAAAGAACTTGAAAACATGAATGGAGCTACACACACCCCTATGTTCATTGCAGCATTATTCACAACAGCCAAGACTTGGAAGAAACCTAGGTTCCCATCAAGGGATGAATGGATAAGAACTTGTGGTATATATACACAATAGAATACTACTTAGCCACAAGAAACTATGAAATCCAGTCATTTGTGACAACATGGGTGGACCTTGAGGGTATTATGATAAGCAAAATAAGTCAGAGGGGAAAGTCAAATATTGTATGATCTCATTCAGAAGTAGAGGATAAAAACAACAACAAAACAATCACATAGAGACAGAGGTTGCATTGGTGGTTACCAGAGGGAAAGCAGGGAGGGAGGAGGATGAAAGGGGTGATTAGATACAAGTGTGTGGATGGATTGTAATTAGTTTTTGGATGATGAACATGATGTAATACAGATAGAAATCAAAATATAATGATGTACACTTGAAATTTATATAATGTTATAAACCAATGTTACAAAAAAATAAAGATAAATAAATAAAAGGCTCAAAAAAAAATCCCAGTGTATCAATATTGATTCACCAATGGTAACAAAGGCACCACACTAATGCAAGATGTTAGTAACAGAAACTGTGAGCAGGGGAGAATGAAGGTGTATGGAGACTCTCACAATATCTGCCCAATTTTCTGTAAACTTAAAACTGCTCTAAAAAATAAAGTATATTAATTTAAAATAAATAAAGGATTGTCACAGGGACTAGCAAAATTTGGAATTTGTGAAAAATTCAAATGATCACACCCAAACCCAGACCTACTGAGATAGAAAGTAGAAACTTACGGGTAGGACTCAGAAATCTGTGTTTTGACAAACCTCAAGTTCATCCTAGCGAAGGCTAGTGTTTGAGAAGCATTATGCTAGTGAGTCCTGGGACCCTTCACTACTCAGCCATCTTCCTGATGAGGAAACTACAAGTCAGAAAATCCTGAAGCTTGTCCCCAAGAAGAGATCCAAGGAAAACTAAAGTGATTCTTCCCGGAGGAAAAACACCCAGGAGATAAGAATGACAGCTGGCCCCACTGTTAGTCCCCCAGGGATAAGGAACTGGCAGGTCAGAGACCCCTTCCTCTGTGGTCCCTGCCTTTGAGGAGTCAAACTACAAGGACTAGGAGATCCATTGATCAATTTGTCTAACAAGCTTCAGAGGGAATTCGGCTCCTAGGGCCACCAAACCTGTAAAAGATCAACTTATACTCACCAAGGCTCTCAGGTGCCAGGCTCAAGACACTCATGCCTTCTCCAAGAGAAATCAGGTGGGCCCCATACAACGTGCCTGACTCTGTATCCCTGCTCTTTTGGGGAACTGACTTTCTGTCTTCAGTGTTCACCCTCCATGAGAGAAAGATTCAGAGGAGCTGGTCCCTGTGGTGTGCTAACATTGCCAACCTGCATAACCCAGTAAGTGCGGGAAATAGGGAAAAGAAGTGGCCAGGTGGACAGGACATTGACTATTGAACCAATTATGTCTATGGAGAAGGAGCACTAGGGGCTAATTGCTTGGGAGAGTAAATGGCTAGACTCCTTATTTGGAGTTGCCATTGCACAGTGAGCATTTGCTTCCATTGTATGTTATGTAGGTGGCTGGCTGATGGAGATAATGGAGATGGAGAGGAAGAGGATAAACACCAGCCCGCTCTTTGACACGATGGCACTTATCAGGACCAAACTATGTAATGATACAGTTACCAGTCCGAGGTGTACAAACGGTTGCCACCAGGTGCTGATAGAGCCTTATGTCTTTCACAGTGAAGTCTTTATCTCTTCTTCTTCTTTTCTTCTATTACCTGTTCTAAGAACTCTGGAGCATCCATCTTCACTTGGCCTAGACAAGTATTTATGAATTCTTCTCTGTCACCCTCATTTGCTTGAGAACATTTCCTGTTTCTCCAAAAAGATCTATCCTTCCTCCACCTTCTGCACCCTTATCCTTGGTTCTACTTAGAGATCTTCAAGAGGGGAGGGTCTGTGTTCCCTGGTATCCAGGGCTATAGTGTATAAAGACTGGGGTGAAGTGGATGAGAGAGGGGAAGTGAAGGACACAGGCAAGTTCAACATCCATTCACCTCCTGACATCCCACCCTGTTAATCTGGGAGTATTCTGGGAAACTTTGAAACTCACATGTCCCTTCTCTATAGTTCCTCTTGATTCCACTTGGGTGTCAGGTCGTATCCTTAAGCAGGGACATGGAATCATTAGCAAGACATCAAATCATTTCCTCACCTCTTTTGGCCTTTCTTCCTCTTCCTTAAAACAAGTGGTTTGGTCCCTTCAACTCTAACAATGTGAGTATTCCCAACAAATTCCCTTTGCCCTAAGTTTTGCCTGCTGTAAATCCATCCTTCATTCCATGCACCAGGGAAAATTGTGATATAGATCATGTTACCTCTTTGGTCACAGTCCCTCAAAGCCCCCATCCTTTACCCATTATCTATTTCAAGATTCCCAGAGATACGGTTCCTGCCTGCCTCTCCAACCATTCTGCACCATTCCCTTCTGCACTTTGTGCTTCAGCACGTTACTAAGAGCATTCTGTTCCATGCTGCTTCTTGTTTATGGGCCTTTTCCCTTGCTCTCTTTTCTGCAGGAAAGGCCCCACTCAATCATCCACCTAGATAGCTAATCACTGGAGGATCTCTTCCTCCAGGAATTCTTCCCTGACTCCATCACTCCAGGCTAGATTTGGGATTCCTCTCTCTATTCTACTCTGCAGACTATAACTACTTTTACCTTAGCATTTAATTCACTGTACCTCAATGACCAGTTTATGCAGATATCCAACTCTACCACAGGGTGGGGGGCTCCCTGAGAACAAAGACCACACCATTAATCCTTGTATCCACAAGAGCTTACACTTAGCCTGTCCCAAAGAAGCCCTTCTTGCAGACTGGCTTCCAGATCTTTTTCAGTGATTGAAAAGCAATCTATTTCAATTCTTCTCTGCTTTCTGGCATGGCTCAAGAAAGTTGCCCACTAACACTAGACACTAGAAACAGAATAGGACATGTTTATTTTGGTGCATGGTTAAAGGAGGAAGTGTAAGTGGCAAATGGCTGTATCTTTCACTTCTAGTTTCTAACCTCTGATAAGGTAAAATGTTTCTGATGTGTGGGAACCTTCTTGCTAAGATAAGTGTTACTAATCATAATTTCGTGACCCCTTTAAATCTCAATTTGGCCACTGTTGCAAACCCAGGTGGGAGTTAATGAAAAAAGTAATCATTGCAGTTGATTTGTATTTTGAGGACCTAAGCAAAAACCCTGCAGCAGCCAGATCCCCAGTTTTGTCCATCAGAACCAGACTGATTCTTACCAGTTCCTCTCCTTCATGTCAATTATTTCTTTCATTGAATATTTTTTTCATCGCATCAATCTTTTTATTTGCCTTGAGGAAGCAATATTTGACCATACTAGGGGAAAAAAAAAAAAACACCTCTGTGGCCAAATAGTTATCTACTTACATTCACCAAACAAACCTACTTTCCAAACCTTGAAGGTTTGCATGGACTGTACATCTCTTTCTCAGGGGAAACAATATGCGGCTGAGAACACAATCCAGCTTCGGAGGCTGACTCCATCTTTAACCATTTCTCAAGTCAGAAAAGGTCATGAAAACAATTTTGAGTAGTATCCTCTGTGGTGTTCATTAAATCCTTGTAATAAGAAACATTACATCAAGATATATACGTATGAGCCAAAAAGGATGAGGGTCAGACATGAGGCAATGTCTAGAATAGCATAGGAGAGGGAGAGACAGGGGCATCTGTCCAGTTTCTGTCCATCCTCTGGCTCTCTCCTTCCCAGGTCTTTTACCAGAGGTAAAGGAATGAGGATCTCTATCCGTTTCCCTGCTATTTTTCTCTCCTGAAAAGCAGATCTTCAAGTGTTTGAAGAGAGAGCACAAAGGAGGCAGGGCCTCCTCATTCAGGGTTGGGGGGTACTCATCAGTTTCACATGCAAATAAAAGGACTGAGAATATGAATATTGAGGAATTTCCAGGAAGAGAATTTGGAAGATGATGAGTGTCCTCATTTATGATCCCAGAAAAATAACTGTGTGACAATCCTTAGAGAAATTTCTTGGAAATGTGTAATTTCACAACTTAGTCTCTCAGTTACCTCCTGTTTATACCTCTACATAATTAAGACAGAAAGTCAGGGATGTGCATATAGGTGTTTCAGATAAAAACTGGGAAAAAGCAGTTGCTGATGCTTCTATGGTTAAAGACCTCAGGTGAGAGAGCAGGTAGATGCAAGAGCAGGAGAAAATACGCTAAATTGTTGAGACCAGGGAAGGATCAACATTGGGAATCAAGATTTAGAGGGGGGCCTGTCTATTTAAGGAGCAGAAACTCATATTCCTTTTCTACCTTTCTTCTATCAACATGTTATTTCTTTTATCCTCTCCATATAGAAACCCCACTGAAGGCAAATTTTGCTGGAAGTTTTGGAGTAATAGACACCCAGGGACTATTTGATGAGCTGCAGCAAAGGAAAAACATTGGTTCGTATGCTCATCCATTTATTAATTCAGCCATCAAACCAATATGGAGAGTTTTCTGTGTGCTAAGAGCTCAGTTAGTATTGAGACCTGAGGAGGTCATAAATCACCTAAGCAGGTGAGAGCTGTGCCAAGTACGGAATGACAGGTAGGAATTAAGAGAAGAAAGGAGAGAGAGGTTTACGCAGAGGAGTAGGTCTTGAAAAATTTCAGAGACATGAGTTTATGACACATTTAGGCAAAGAGAAGCTTTTCTGAATGATCGGAATTTAGGGTAAGAGGTGAGAAGTGTGGAGAAATAAGGCTAGAGGGTCAGGGTGGAGCTATGATACACCAAGGAGTTTGCATGTTTTCAGAAGGTGGCAGGAAGGCATTCTAAGTGTTTTAGGTAGGACAGTGATATCATCAGATTTTCATTTTGGAAACATCAGTCAAGTGGCTGTGGGCCAGAATTGAAGGTGTGGCTTCCAACCAGGAGGGAACCTGTGCAATAGACCTAGTAGGAAATGAAATTGTTTGCCTCTTGTCCAATGCAATTGATGCCATTAACATGCAGAGCACATCCAGGGAAGACCCAGAGTCATGGGTATTTCCCATGACTCTCTTCTATTCTGCTCAGTAAAAGAAAAAATTGGAATGCAAGAGAGCAAACTCCATTCATTAAAAGTCAAGGGAATCTTTGACAAACTATAGTATTTTAAAGGTAAATCATAACTATTTCCTTAGCATACCTCTCAACTGATTAGAAACCACCAGAAATGATGCAAAATGCCCGTCCTCCAAAGGGTCAGAACAAAGATGTTCGTCCATACTTAAACAATTTGTGTATGATATGACCATTTTTATCACTCCAGAGATGCTATCTGCTTTGGTTTTTTATACCTATGAAGACTGACAGTGATGACAGCCAATGGTGGCCTTTTACCTTTCTAGCTAGGCGTGTTACAAAATAGGAAGTATGCAAAAATATTTCTAACAAGGCAAAACAGAACATTGAAGTTCACTTTACGATCCTGTGTTTTTTCTTGTCCCTCATTACATGACCAATTCCCCTGTGTCAGTGTATAGGACTCTCAGGACCTGGAGTGGAGAGAATCAGAAGGTAGGTGGGCTCTGCATGAGTGTCCCCATATTCCCAGCCCCATTCTAAGCATCAACTTAATCTGAGTGCCATGTTTCTCACAGTCCCTCATCATTTCAGGGTCATATGTAAACATCCTGATGCAATTTCCCTCTTCCTCCAGTATTTAGTGAGTACCATAGAGGATTTTACTCCAAATTCTGTTTGTGACCTTTGTAGGATCTTACTTTATGGTACTGAAATGGT